TAAAAAATTAAGAATTAAAAAAATAGGAACTTGTTATCCTAAAAGTACTATCCAGTTGCCTGAAAGTATCGTAAATGTACATATACCGAATGGTAAATTTAGATTTTACGTGGATTACAGAAAAAGTGTAAATTTACGTGCTTTAGTTATTTTACATTTTCCTAGCGTGTAAGCCTAAATCACCAGATGTAATATGATGCTAAATTCTTTGAGCGGCCTTTTGAAATATGTAGCCAAAAGGGCAAGTGTAGGATCTGTTTGTTAATTTTATTTCATGTCGGGAATATTTGAACATATTTTAAGAAATATTCACTTGGGCCCTTCGGATAGAGAAAATTCAACTTCCCATACTGAGAGAGATATCAAGGGAGGCTTGCTTGGCATGTCGGCCATTATTAATATTTTTACAAGCGATACATATTAATTTTAAAGGCAGTTTATCATTTTGGCTGTCATTATTCTTTATTAAAATGTAATAAATCTTACAACCTGTCAGTTCTGCATTTACATTAATTATTGTTACGTGGTATTATCTATCTATCCCGCATCACACATTGCTAATAACCGAACGTTTCGGATACATATCTGAAAATCATTTGTTTCGCCTCCGTGTTCCCGGTTCAGCACGCGCCAGACATCGCCACCAAGCCACCAACTGTTTTGCGCATGCTACGAAAAAAAGTCGTAAACGCTGAACAGAGAAAACAGTTTCATTCCATAATTCAGTTTTAATTAAATAAACTTAGCTGCACCATATAACTCGTGTAAGGTGTAGTAATTAACTTTTAATTTATTTTATTGTATTGTGATGTTTTCTCAGTGTATGTTTATGAAATTTGATTTATTTGACAGTTAAGGAGGTATATCGGGGTCCGAAAGAAGTGAGGAGCGCAAGGGGGGGTCCTATGCTTTTCTTATGGGACTAAAGCCCGCTGCCAATTTGAAAAAATTAAATTCTATCGAAATTATTTGCGATAAACATTATCTATATAGCAAAGAAATCTACTCATATGCACATAGGATACATATTGACTAATTAACAACATAAAAATATCATATTTAAGTAGTTTTAAATTATATTTAATGAACGCATAAAGACTATGTAGATGTGGCAACAGCGCTAATAATTGACTAGCAGTTGTACACACTGCGAACCTACAGACATCGGAGATATTGCGCGTCAAATTCGGGTAAAGATGCGTACGCGTTCAAAAATGTATTGTGTGTAAACTATGTACAATATAATTATTATATATAGCAAATATATCGTATTATCCTCGCGAAGATTTGTATCCTTTATTTAAAATCCGTAAATCATGTGAACTGGTAAAACAACGAGAATTATGTTAATTTAGTTCTAAAGAAATGAAATGACACTCGCGCCCATCTCTCGTCCAAGTCAAAGAAAATGTTGGATGCAATTTTGAAGGTTCTGTGATAGAAATTACATTATTACTCACTGTTCGTGTTTTTAATCTCTATTTTAGTAATGTTACAAAAGTTTTGCAACTATAACTAATTTTTTAGATATAAAGTTTGCTGAGAAATATTTATGTTCCTTTGTTATTCCGTACAAATGCTTTTATCTCAAGTATTACTAATTATATTAATCAAGTAAAGAAAACTTTATGTAACCCTAAATATTGCTGGGTAATGATTACGATGTTTTTATAAACCATTAAATATATTAAAAGGATTTATCAACTGTATTTTTTATTCCAATAAATATATCACAGCTTCCTAGTCTTTTTTAATTAATCTAGTTTTTTAAAAACATTACAAAAAATAATCTGTTGTGGATAATTTATTTTTGATAACAATGTACATGGGATTTAGGAAAAACGTATATGTTTGAAATCAATTTCGTTTTTATCAAGTCTTTCAAATGTATTCCCTCCTTGCTGTCAGCTGATTGCGACGTTGCCACATTTTCAGTTATGGGCAAAAAAAGAGCCGCACCGTCCATCTTCGCCATATAAACCTATGTTAAAATGAACAACTTTCAACAACAATATCTCAAAATCTTGATTAAAAAAAAATGTCAAAAAAATATGACGCACAGAGGGAGCACTGGGTAATACGCTATATAAATATCAAGTACATTTGTGCATTTGAATAAACCCGATATACCTCCTTAAACCTCTTCATGTTGAACTATCGGTTATTTTTCATGGCTGACAATGGCATTGGAATTTGGTACAAATAAGTTGTTAGTTTTTGACCGTCCGCTAGATTTCGCTATCCGCTATCCCCCCTAGTAACATTTTATGACTACACTTTTGAGGTTAGGTTTTTTAAATTGTACGTCGTGTATTATAAAGTAAAATATGTATATCCGCACACACGTCGGGTATTAGCAAGTTTAAAAACATCGCCGTGTGGGGAAGATTTTCCACGTCGCGAAAATAAATTATGATATATGATTTCCCTCGCATAAATAACGCCGAAGTAACAGTCATTTATATTTTTCCGCCGCATTTTAATCTGCGAACGTATTCGGTGTGATAGTATGTGACAGGGTTGGAAGGGCAATATTGGAGGATAAAAAATGTCTTGGTATTTTTCATTGACCCGAAAAAGTACATCACGATCGAGTGTCGTGGTTTATACAGTAAACAGCTTCCGGTTGTTTTACTTCGGTAGTTCACGGAACTAATTCCGACTTTATTAGAGAAATCTCTGCATTGCTGTGTGGGAAATTCACATTCTAACTTCCAGAAATCTACCATGCCAGTAATATAAAGTCTTTATTAAATATTTCGTACATTAATCAACACGTCCAAGTTATAAAGTGTTAGAATTCCCACCCGTAAAACAGTACCGTATCACTGATAATTTTACTTAACTCCGTCCCTACAATCATTTAAAATTATACCCCGCCAACTTTTTAAAATAGCACCTTTCTTGAATAGAAATGAACTTGAAAAATTGACCCTCGCTTGCATAAAGAGGAGGATATTAAAACTAATTATATTTACATTCCTGTTTATACTACAAACCTATACTGCAAACATTGTTTCGCTTTCAGGCTTACACCACGTTCATTGAGAAGTATTTTGAAATTTAAATTAACCTGCGAAAGGTTCAAAGGCATTGATAATTTCTAAGTAAACCCGATATACCGTTTAAAGGTACATACACACTTTAGATTGCCTTGGAAACTAGTCTAACATAGCAACCAACGCCATCTACAGGGTGTAAGAAGATTGGCTGTCGTTACTTCAGCATAAGAGTATTAGTATTGGGGAGTTTCATCACAACGTGACAACAGCGCTTGACCTAACGCTACACAGCTGGTGCATACCACGTGTGCACGCGGCAGACTTGCCCTACGGAAAAAATGTAAACAGCTATTATTGTGAAACATTTAGTCAATTTCAAGACAATCGTTTTCAAGTTTTTAAATAAATAAAATAAAATGTATCAATTTTGCAGTACAAAGATAGTGTTGTAGTTAAATTTTAGCTCGAATTTTAGTAATTATGAATCTCTTAAAACAGGAACTTAACTTTTAATCAAATTATGAATTTGAAAAATATGTAATAAAAGTACCCCAAAATTCACGTCCTCCAAATAATCATACGTAGTAAAAATAATTTAGGGACTTCCCAAAAAGCAAAATTCAGTAATTTTTGAACGCACGCGTACAAAACAAACTACATCATATGCTCAAAATGTCCACCACCATTTTGGATGCACGCACGACACGTTCGTATCCAATTTTTGCGCACTCGTTGGAAAACGCTTCAAGAAAAGGAAATAGTGGTACGCAAAAAACACTCAGACACGGTCCAATTCCAGATACCAACTGAATTGCATATTGCTGGCTGGATAGCTGGAAATGGTTGAGTTTGGAATGGTACGCAAAAAACACTCAGACACGGTCCAATTCCAGATACCAACTGAATTGCATATTGCTGGCTGGATAGCTGGAAATGGTTGAGTTTGGAATGGTACGCAAAAAACACTCAGACACGGTCCAATTCCAGATACCAACTGAATTGCGTATTGCTGGACTTGTGACATTGATCGATATGAATTTTATCGAATTTTAAATTTATAATAACGCTAGTTATTTTTTAGAATTAAGCATAAAGAAGTTCAAAAAAGTAATAAACATTGTGCAAAATCCTGATTGTAAGTGTAAAAAATTTAAAGAGATTATTCTGTATAATAAAATCTATGGCAATATAATCTACAATGCTATAATTAATTAGACTATTTGACCCAAAAATTCTCGAATGTCTTGAATGACCGGGGTCATCTTGATACTCTGTATACACCTTTCACTAAAGCCTTTAGTTGTATGATCATCACTTTCAGATCATATCAAACAAATTGATATCAGTTTGTGTCGTATAATAGTTATAGGTCATTAACATAGTTCCACAGGGATCTAATATCGGTCCTTTATTGTTATTTGCTCCTTATTAACGACCTTTGTGTTGAGCTCCAGTGACTGATGATTTAAAAATGTTTAAATCGATATGCTCATTAAATTATTGTCTACAACTTCAACATTAGCAAAGCTACCTGTCGGTGCATATTAAACAGAGTTGACATTTATGTCAACAGATGTAAAATTTTAGAAATGAAACATGTCTGAACTTCCTATATTATGCATATGTTCGATTTAAAATTGGGTATGGATCTGGAACATCTGTAAAGTCCCAAAGAAGCTACAAAGGAACTGAGAATGGTTTTTGAACAGCGTTGTGCACTGTTCTGGGATTAGTTAATGCATTGTAAATAGTTTATAAGTTGATTAATCGGTTCGACGCAGAGTTGGGCTAAGTTTCGCGTAATAATTCAGATCACAGGTTGCTCAATGAAACTTATTTCAGTTTGTGTGTATCTATTATTAAAAATAACGCTGAAGAAATTGTAGCAATCTTTTCTATTATTGACATGCGAAAAATATATCAGTTACCTTTACCACCCTGATAAACTTTACTACGGTACTGGTACTGGATTCAAATTGGACTGTAACAGGGACTTACCAGGTCTCGACGCGCGCAGTTTGGCGGCTTTTACTTCATGATGACCAACGCAGATATTGGGGTCCGATGATTCTGGAAAAAGGGCACAATCCAAATACTCGGGGAGAGCCAGGCCAAAGACGTCGAGAAAGAAGCCACACCGTCGTTTGTTTTCTGCAAAGGAAACATCGGCATCAATTTCGGTCGCTGATGAGGGACAGTTGACTTACCGTAGCATAGACTCCTGCAGGGTCGCACCACAACGCCGCTAGGTCCACATTTAGGTACAAACAAGGAACAGAGAAACAAAGCCGCTAGGTCGTAACACCTGACATCAACCACGGCGTCGTAGACTTCAAGTTCTTGTTGTGCGTCTCTTTGTCCGAAGTGTCCCATGTAATTGGGGAACACCGTGAAGTTGTAGGGTATTCCATGCTGCTTGCAGAAGGTCACTATGACCGGTAAGCATATCCCTGGAGCGGGATTGTTGCTCTTCCTTTCGATTACAATTGGACTTGTTGTTACGTTTAACGTTTTATTGACTATTGTTACTGAATTTGGATATGCTGAAATTCGAGCGGTTAATGTGATATTATTGGATGTTATACCTTTCCTTACCCTTAAAATATGCTGCCATACCAGCGCCTATAGCAAATAGTGCTACAGCATTTACCACTAGTTGAGCAAATCTAAATTTCAATCGGTTTGCGCAAGCTGTAGACGGACGACGGATATCTCTTATTATCTGGAAGAAGATTTGTACTGTTAACGATTTTCTATAGCTTAGAGGTCTTGAAACTCACCCTGTGGTGTAGTGACATGTTAGAACCATTGTGGAACCTCACTATCGTCTGCAGGCTGGCAGGAGTAGACACGCTCTTGGTTATAGTCGTGTTACCATTGTTGTCGTCCTCATTGTCTTTAATCTTGGGGATGAGACCTCCGTTTTGCTGTTTGAGCGGAGTTCTTGGGGGGAGCAGCGGGGTCTCCATGGTTTTGGTCGTGTAACTGGGCGAAGAAGTCTGACTGAAACTATCACTAGATACACTAGAGTCCTGCCTGATGGAAACCCTGCCGTGGGCGGGTTGGTTTCCTTGGACCTTACTCGCCGTCATGTTGGGTTTGTGCACCTTGGGGGCTGGCGGTGGGGGGCCCATAGGGGCGGGGGGGATCTTAACATCCTGGTTGTGACTCGCGTCGAACGCGAAGGCCGAAGTCTTTGTGTTCTTGGGACAGTTTCTGTTCACGTCGAATCTTCTGATGTTGATGTTGTTCGCCTCCATGGACATTTGTCGCAGCGGAGGTTTTGGTTTGCTGTCCGTGAAAGGGTTGTTGGGTAGCGCTCGACATTTTGGTGTTGGAGGTAGTGGGGGAGGTTCAGCAGGTTTGTTGCTTATGGTCTTGAGAGGTTTGTTTGGCGGTATTATGCCGGGCATGTTGTTTCTTTTTGGTACGGGCGGCGGACGCAAAGGTATCGGTGGTGGTATCTGGAAACGAATGGAGAAATTTCAAATGAACGTTACAGGTTCTGGGTGGGGAGGGTGAGATATCCATAAAGGCCCCTCGTGCCATAAAACGTAATGTGAAAGTGTAGCGACGAGCTTTCATTTAGCTGGGATATCGCAAAGGTTTATAGATCATCATTAAATTTGTTTTAACAAAGATCCAGGGTGTTAAACGTGTCGACTTATAATAAAAAGGAGGCGGTTAAAATGCGCTTTATATGGATATAATGACTACTATAAATCACTTAATTCCAGCTCACATTGTAGCGAGCGGTGTGTTTGCGTAAATTATTGTGATTACCGAATATTAAAGGATATTATGGTTTAGTGCACGGTGAATTGAATTGAGAGTCATTAAACGAATTAATGCCATTTCTGTGGAAAATCGCGGGAAGTATAAGCGATAAACACTGTTATTGATTGAATGAATCACTCTGTGGGCAACGTAATTGTTTGAAGGATGCCTTCTTGACAACTCCTGAGTGATTTAAAAGAAATTCCTTCTGAATACTGACTTTTCTCTCGTCAGCGTAACGGCACGGGATTATGTTTAGGTTATAGACTACAAGCCCATCGGAAATCTTCAAGGGGTCATTTGACCCAGCATGAATTACTTATAAATCAATACTACCACGTAGAATAATAACTTTAGAAACTATGCCGTCAATTTTTGTTGGTACAGGTGCCGCACAAAAATAGCAATACCGGAAGCCAGGAAAATTTTTGGTTTTCTGAAAATTTTGGGCCGGTTTTTGGTGATTTACTACATTACGGCATTTATACTGCAAGGATTGATACGTAGATAACTTGTTAAATTTTCCGAAAATCAAAAATTTTCCTGGCTTCCGGTATTGCTATTTTTGTACGGTATTAGGTCAAGGTTAATTTTTTTTGTATAACCTATATACTTTAGGATGCCGTACAAAAATGTTTTGCCAGAATAATGTAATAAATTGTTAGGAAGAATTAGGGTATATTAATTAAAAAAGGCTACCCTTGCGGGATGAAACGTTACCCTGTGTTTTTCATATACATAAAAGCTACGCGGGTCTTTGAATCCCACCGATCTTTATACGCCTAACTGTAATGGCACAAGAAAAAAAATTACATCAATCTATACAGTATATCCAAAAGGGATATTGCGAAATTTAATATAACAGAAAGAAGCTGAGGGTGTTATTTGCATTAAAGACGGATAAGAACAATGATTTCGTCTTTCATATGGCCAAGGGCTGGTTGCTTCAATAAAATGACGCACATCCGACTTTTAAAACATTTAAATTCTTGTTGGGACGTTATTGAGCTGCGAATTTACGATATTTAATAGTATGCGTTGTTTACGTGCAGATATTATTTATCCAATAGATAACACAAATCAATTCCAGGAGTAATGAACCGTTACTAACGATAAAAAACGCAATCAAAACTCGACAGAGTGAGTAATCATTTGTTTCCCTAGCTAATTCACTTAATTGCTTAGTTCCGAACGGGAATTAATAGTTGGCACTTCTTAAGTTTCCATAAAGCTTTTGTAGTCGAAAGCTTTGTGTCGATACATTTGAAAGAAGCAAGGAAATTATGTATAAAATAACATTATATTCAGGGTGTTGCGGAAACAAATACAAATAATTTACGGGCCAGTAGAACAGTTGTTTCTTATTTTTCTTTAGATCAAGTTTTATTCATTCAATTTATATTGTTCATACAGGGTATCCCAATAAAGACCCGAACCCCCCCAACAACGCGATTGAGCAAAATAGCTCGTGAGCTCGTATTTTTACTTTATTTTAAGCTAAATCAAAAAAATGTCTGAATGAACTTAATATCATTAAAATATAACCTCTTTGCAATCATTTCCGTAACACCCTGTATATGCGGTACTGCATTCAAGTTCGGTACAATTATTAGTGACAATAAAGGGCTCAAGTGGCTCGAGCCCTCGGACCGTACGTGATGCCGTCACGCTCTCATTTTTCGTCACGGGCGTAATTTTAATATGCCATACTTACGGGTGTCGGTGGTTTGGTGTGTTGTTCCTCGGTGACGGGACAAGTGTGTGCAGAATGTCTTCTAGCGTAGATATTGGAGTTTAGCGGAGCAAGCGTCAGAGATGTGGGCTGGAGAATGGGATGGTCTCCATCAAGAAGATCTAATAGAGCTCGTTCATTAGCCAAACTTCCCCATCTTCGTGTGGAGAAAAGTGACGTTTAGAAAGTGACGTTAACGAATTTATAGCGGTACATTACCAGTACTGTACGCCATGAAGGTGCTATAAAACCGCTAGTATTGTAGTATAACAACCCTAGGTTCGACAAAAAATAAGTAAACGTAGTTGTGGCCAAAAAGATGTGATCGTCATAAGGACTACCTACGTTGTGTGTATCTATTTTTTTAATTTACCGGAAGGCGCTGGCTACTAACTTTGTAGAGGGGATGTATGGTTTAATTATATAAAACAAAAGCAGAGTAAATACACCTAACCTTTATTTACATACAATTCAAATTAAACATGTGACAAATAGAAAGAACAACAAAAACATTAACAACCATTAAACATAAAAGGAGAGTGCCAGGCTCACCTAGAGCTCCTGTGGGGAAAGAGCATGGCAGAGAAACCCACGATCGTTGCTCTTACCACCCAAAGATAAATACAAAACAACCACTAATCAAAGGCATAAATTAAGAACCTTTGCTAATGATAAATAAGTCCTGGTTCATTTAATGTGTCACCAAATGTCGTCTGTTAACCCCAGATTAGTCATACACACTTCCAAGTAAAACTGGAGAGATTTGGTGTTAGTTAGCCGGCAGAGCCGGAAGGTACTGAGGTACCATCATACGGGAGGCTACTCAGCTAAAGTTGAGATTTCGGAAGATCCTTCATGACACTGGAGTCCCATACGGGAGGCTATCCAGCTCAATTCAGATTCATTCCGCACGGGCGAAAATGTTAGTAACTGCAACAAGGCTCGTATAGACGTGTGACATAAAGTGGACACAAGAAATCAAAGAACAACATGATCTTGTTTAAAACAAGTTAAATGTGAAATAAGAAGTCGTTATTGCACTATCTGGGCGGTCTCGACAAAATACATATTTGAACATGTCATAAATAATGAACAGCCTTAAATAATATTTGTAACAATTTTATATTGGAAAAATATACGCCCCTAAGCGTAAGACAATGAAGGCTAAACATAGACAGAATTATTATCATGAAACATCTATATTTTACGAACAACGTCATCACTACAAAAACAAGTTAGCTGTAAAACAAAGGAGTCATTATTGTAAAGTCGGGGGCGCCCACGACGATATACATATTTTAACATGAAATAAATAATGAGCTTTTACCTTAGAAAAATATATGCTCTTGAGCATAAAGCAATGGAAGCTATACATACAAAGAATTATTATCATGAAACATCTATAAACATCACAATCATAAGATTACATAGAACAATTAACAACAAAGTACTTAAAGAATATTACCTGCTAACTAATAACACTTTAAACACTTAATTTTACACTACTTTGTCACACTGCCCGCCGTTCGTCTTGCTACCTATCCGCACACTGTTCTCACTTCAACTGCCTATCTTCAACTAACTATTTAGGCTTCCTTCCAGAATTTCCTACCTAAGTGCTTGTTTTTTGTGCTTCCTTCTATCGACCGTTAATATTACTTTTTCATTGTTATACAACACCCATGTAGCAGGTGACGTGGAAGTTGATAAGATAAGTACGGTTTTGCACAGTATTGTCACAGGAAGTACGAATTAGTTTTAATGTACTTGGAAATTTTATCCAGTCAACTACGTGTTGAACATATTTAACTCAATTAATCCACTAATTGCTTTACCCGTTCCTAAATTTGTCAATTAAAAGATTATAAGTTTTCCCGCCTTCATACTCTAATAAAATGGTTTGTTATTCGCACGGATATTCCTGTTAAATGATATCTGAAAATATTCATCAGTGCGATGAACTACGCCTAGGCGCGCCATTTTAAACTTTTGTAATTGAATTTGCTGTGTTCCTCGTTCCACAAACCCTTTTTAAGCAAACATCAATCCTCAAAGCGACATAATGCACTATGGCGCAGAATAAACAGGCACAGTGTTGGGTACACGCCATGTTTGATGTAAGAGAGTACCACTCCGCTTTCGGAATTAAAATAGAAAGGCTAAAACTAGAATCAGTAATTGAAATAGTTTTGTAAGTTATTTGAAAATGGATATATTTGTACAGGGTGGTCCAAGATTATGTACCGCAATCGCACATTAAAAAATCTCGTCAAATGAATTCGAACAATGTTTTTCGATACCAGAAATCTAGGCATGCTGATATTACGGGAAATAACTACTCTGCTCCGTTTTATTCGAAAAAGAAATTTTTTTAGGATTTTTTATTATCGATACAATTTTATATACAAAATGACTACGCCAATGTTTTTTTTTTATTCTTAACGATTATTCCTAACGCAACGACAATTATGGTACATTATTCTGGACCGCCTTGTATATTTTTTGGTCAAATAGAAACTATTTGCTGTAAGAATTTAAGTTCAGATAAAAGTTTTCGTAGTTTTACCCAGCTTCGTTGAAAAAACTCTTCGGAAGCCTCAAAGCTTTAATTGTTTTTGCGAAAATTTCATCGGCGAAGAAGTACTGGTAAAAAATAATCAATTTCGTTTCACAAAGAAAAAAATGTAATCATTAAAAGACCGGAAAGTTAATTTTATGTAGAAATTTGCCATTTGCTGTCCCTTAGACGATTTAAAATCTCCACAACTCACATAATAAAAGTGTAGATCACTAGATCTGGGCGAGGTCCGGAACATTTTCAAAATTGCAAAATTGAAAAATTTAAAAAAATACCTATTTTATCTGAGTTTTTTTACTTATATCTTGGAACCCATGCATTTTGGAAGAATATTGAAGAGGAAAAAAGATTTAGAATTGATTTTGCACAATATGCTATATGTTAAAAATGTTTAAATTTATTACCGATGTTGCAAAATAGCAATATTTGATGAAAAAAAGGCAAAATAATCAAGATTTTTGGATAATTTTTTAAAAATATTTTAATTGCTCCGAGGGCATTCTAATTTTGGTAAAAAAAGCTTTAGAGTGTAATAAAATAACACACCAAATTTCAGAGCGGTCTTTTCTATGTGAAAAAATTTTCAAGTATCTAGATGCTTTATTTGAGGCTGTGCAATATTTTGAAAATTCGAACTTTTCAAAATTTTTTTAAAAAAATTATTTTGCGGAAACTATCGAACCGATTTTAATGAAATTTGGTGTGTTGTTTTATTATACTCTAAAATTTTTTTTACCAAAATTAGAATGCCCTCGGAGCAATTAAAATATTTTTTTAAAAGTTATCAAAGAAACTTGATTATTTTGCCTTTTGTTCTTCAATTATTGCTATTTTGCAACATCGATAATAAATTTAAACATTTTTAACTTGCAGTATATTGTGCAAAATTGAATTATAAAACTTTTTTTCCTTTTCAATATTCTTCCAAAATGCATAGGTTCCGAGATATTAGTAAAAAACTCAGATAAAATAGGAATTTTTAAAAATTTTTAAACATTTTTATAATTTTGAAAATGTTCCGGACCTCGCCCAGATCTAGTGATCTACACTTTTATTATTTGAGTTGTACTGAAGGTATTCCAGCAAACATTAGCTTGCCCCCTTTCATCCACCTCAAAACAGATTCGCCCTGGTCTAAGTAAAACTAATTTTAGTTCAGTTGTAATTTAAGACGCCTAAATAGTTTTATAGCACCTTGCAATGGGACTTGGGATAATCTACCGTGCGTTACCTTGGCCTAGACCTGGGCTCCTCGATTTGGCTGACGGTGTTGCGATGTCGATCCACCATGGCGTCGTCCTAGAGCATCTTGAGGTAATGATATACTCGTACAACAAACCTGTTGCACCTGTGTAACAAAATACTACCTCAGAAGGGCTCGCACCCCGCTCAAGCAGCGATTCGGCATAATATTAATTCCTTGTGGGAAATTAGTCTACTTGGGTGTATTTACTTTTCTACATTCGTTCCCGATATCGGATTATCTTAATCTCCCGGCTAAATTTGGATCTCGGATACCGTTTGCTTGTAATTCGATCGCGACTTGAAAAATTTTTACTTTTGAATTAAACAAAGTAAGGGTCTACGGGCTAGTATTAAATTTCGCAACAGTAGTAAAACTCTTTATTTTGTTTTTATTACCACGGCTCAGATCAAGAGGTTCGCGTTCAAATCGCGGTGCCGCAGGGGAAATATCCGAATTATTTTGTTGGGTAAGCAGAATTGTTACTTCTCTGCAACGGAATCTATTCCCGCATTTTTCCCGTTGGTAATATCGCATCGCTGAATACTTTCAATGCAGGCGTTTGAAGGTCCATGAAATTGGAACACTTGGTAATTATTTTATATTACTCTTTAAAAATTGTCAAAGTTTTATGTCAAGAAAACGGCAAATAAGCTCGGGTATATTCCAGGAAGTTAAATTACTAAATAATACTCGAGTAAAGAAAAACTATTAATTTTGTCTCTATGGAATTCAGCAACACTGGCAACTTTCTGCCATTTATTAACTTGGAAATTATCTGTATATTGTATTTTAGTGTATTTTTACCGAAACGTAACCAACTAACAGTTTTTATGTACAGAGCGTCCCGATTTACATGGGCATAGATCACTGACATCGACAAAATCCAAATGAAAATATATTTTATTATTAACTCTCGCACTTTTACTTTATTTATATAATTCGAATAAATTCAAAAAAAAAAAATTCCCAAAAAGATCTTACAAGTCAAGGAATAGGAAGCAAAACAAGGGGTGTATAATAACCTCGTGATTTCAGATTTCGAATAAAACAATTGCTAGTACGATTTTTCAAAAATTGGTGCCATATAACAGGCTTGATTTGTAATTTTGAGGTCATAGTCTTGAAATATGCGCCTTTTTAAGTTCTATGTAACAAAAAATATTTAAATTCGTTCGTTTTTTTATACTTTTTAAATAATCTTTGAAATTAAAAAAGTGCACGAGTAATGAAGGCTGATATAAACGCATATTGTTCACGTATTGAAAAGAAAGACCTATTCGTTTTTAAATTTCAGGTATAAATGTAAAAATGTAAGAAAAAGGGTGATAAATTAATTAAAATAAATGAAAACATACCAATTTCATTTATTTTAATTAATTTATCACTCTTTTTATTTATTTATTTTTTCTGGATGTACTTCGGAAAATAGAGAGTTTGCACACGAAAAATTTGCACAATTAATATTTAATGATTAAAATAAAATATTAACGTCGTACTAAACTGATGCAAAAAATTAAAGGGTCAAAATAATTTCCGAAATTTTTCCGTGATTTTTGACAGACTGTATTTAGGTGAAAAATGGTCGCATCTGGATTTAAACCAAAGGATTTTGAAGCTCTAAGATTCTAGTTTTTAGATCTCTCGGTCGAAATTTTTTAGGAGCTACGGTTATCAAGCAATAACGCTAAAAAAAATTTTCAATTTCCTTTTTTTTTAAATTTCAATACGACCATTTTTCATCGAAATATCGGACTTTTAATGGAAAAGGATCCTTTTGCTTTTAATCATCGAAATTTTTCGAAGTTTTTTTTTTGTTTTTTTTGGAAAAGCGGACATTGAAGAAAACAAAATCCAATTGTTTCCAGCACGATTCGGCTTTATCGTCCGATGCTTCTGTTCAGCAACTTTTAATTAAATTAAAATTAAAGTTGATGACCCAAACCAGATTTCGACCCCGATTCATACCGTTTTTTGAGACAAATTTCTAATTAATTTTTGTGCAGTCTGTAATCGCTTAAAAACATTTTTTTCAAACTACCCTTTTTTCTTCCCTGAAAAAAAATTCAAATTTTTAATTTTTTTTTTTTTTTGATCAATTTAAACTTTATTTGCGGTAAAAATGTGCTTATGAAGTGTTTAAGCTCAAAAAACGTGACTTTAATATTTTTCAAAAGTTTGACTGTTTGAAACAAAGAAACTGTTCGCCAGATCGAGATTAAACTTCACAGGGTTCTTCTGGATATATCGAACTGTAAGAGTCATGCTTAACATTAGTCATTTCGTGAATATTTCTAATTTAGCCGTCAATTTTAAAAAAAACCATAAATTACCATTTTTTCCTGTTTTTTAAAATTCGTGTAAATGGTTAAAAAAAAAAATCCGAAAAGTTGCGGCAGCAAAAAAATTCGTGGACTTAGAAAAAAAAAGAAAATTTGCAAAATTTTTTTGTCGCGCTATATGATAACCGTAGTTCCTAAAAAATTTCGACCGAAAGAACTTAGAGATTCAAAATGCTTTTTTTTAATCCCAATACGACCTTTTTTCACCTAAATACAGTCTGTCAAAAATCACAGAAAATTTTCGGGAATTCTTTTGACTTTTTGATTTTTTGCATTAGTGTATCATAAAAAAAAATTTAAATTGGTATAAATTGTAACAGACTTGAGGTTTGCAATTTGAACAAAGTTATAGTCTCGAAATATGTGCGTTTTTTGGTTTTATTTAATAGGGTGAAATATATTGATTTTTATTCATTTCTTCTGTCCTCCTATAAATCGGTACACCCTGTATTTACCGTCCTCAATTTGTTCAAAACTACGAAAAATCGCACTTTTGCGAATTTTTAAATACAAACACATAAAAAAGTTTTATTAATCTAAATAATAAGTTTTAAATCTATTATTTTTTAATTGGATTATTTTCTAATAAAAAAAGTCGCATATTTTTCACATAATAGTTGTGGGAAAGCTATTGACTTATGCAGGAATTATCGAATTATTTTTAAATAATTTCATATGTAAATGTAAAAATGAAAGACTTCTTGAAATATTTGCATTTATTTTAATTTTATTACTTTTTTCGTTTATTTTTTCTGGATTAATATCGAAAATTTCACAATTAATATTTAGATTAGCAGCAAAAAGCGCTAATACGACTTTTAAAATACTGGCACCTAGAAAAAGTTGTAACAGACTTAAGATTTATAATTTTAAGGAAGTTTACTGTCTTCGAATATACGCGAGCTTAGGTTCTAGTTAATAAAAGTTATTTTAACTTATGTACACCTACAAACCAGTACACCTTGTATTTACAACATTGAAATGCATCTTTCGTAGTTTTTAATAAAATTTTTTTATTAATTTTCTGTTTATTACTCGATGCAACATTTTAAATACCCCTATTATTTTTGATGGGTTATTTTGTAATAAAAATGTGTGCTGTGACATTAAGGTCGATATAATAAATCGCGTATCTTTCGAATAATAGTTGTCGGACGGCTACTGTTTTTTTTTTAAAGAAAATTCAAAATTTTTATGGGGCTAAAAGAACACGCACCCATATTTAGGTGTATTTTCGCTGTTTTCCAATTACTTATTGCATAAATGTGCGGATTCGCGCGGTGAATTTAGACTTTCGTGTCGGAATAAAGTTATCGCGAGCGCGATTTCCCGGCGACGGAGGCATAAAACCGTGTAGAAGGTGTTGTAGATTTCGGGTCGCACATAATCAATCATGTCCCCACCGGGTGTTAAACCGGCGAGGGACACGAGAACGGGAGCGTCGATATTTTTCTAGTGACTCGTCCGAGAGCGAGGAAAAAAAATCGGCCGGCCGTCGAAAAATCATCGACGGCCCCTATGGGGGAGAACGTCGAAATTGGCGGGAATATGAAATCGACCGGTCACTGACCTACAATACAACACACACACACACACACACGTAAACTCACCTGGAGCGGCGCGCGAACTCTGGCTGTGTGGCGTGCGAGACCGCGGTGTGGCAACATGTGCACAAAAATGTGTCCACCACCGCTGCCTCCGCGAAGCCTGCGCCCCAAGCGGCAGCTCTCGCCCGGCCCAAGCTGCGCTCGATGCAGCGCTACAACACCACGTGGATTCCGACTTGAACTTGGGGCTTACCTGTCTCCAAAAACGAAATTTCCGACAGACCATAAGGGGCCACGGGCATCCTTAAATCTCGCTTTTTCCCCGAACGCCGCGCCCGCTCCCCAACCCGGACCGGTTTCGATGCCGCCGCCGCCACGCGACGCGAACTTTCGAATTTCACACGATACAAATGAACACCGCCTACCGGCCCTGCCTCACATTCGAATTCGAATTGGGGGATGGGTTTCTTCGGCATGTCTTTTGTCCCATCTCCCCCCTTTTATTATTTTATTTATTGCTGTTGTTTATTTATTTGCCGATTTTATTTGGTGTTAAACGGGACGAGGTAAGCTCCATTTTCAATCGAAAGTATTTTTTGGATTTGACGGAACCGACTAATGACGTCATCAATTATATTTTTTCCAGAAACATACCCAAATTTCCTGTTAAAAAGCTCTCTTTTTTCTAATAAACTTTTATTAGAGAAATGTTTCTGTATTATTTCCCATTTAAAAGTTATAAGCAATATCTTCCTAAAGAGTCTCAGAAGAAATACAACATTAGCGGTGGATCATTTGAATTCACTATCTGCTGTCGCTTTATCGTTTGTTTTAATATTAAATCGTACATATTTCTAACTAACTATTTTCGCATTTACACTTTTTGATACTTCGTCAAAATACCGGTAAGTTGTAACAGAAACAAAATAGTCAAAGGTTGTGGCCAGCCAGTTCACCGGATCTAACGCCTTTTGATTATTTTTTGTTTGGATATCCGGAAAATACTGTTTTTTAAACAGCGATGCACGACATTGAAGAATTAGAAGCAGTAACTATTCGAGTAATTAATAATATAACAGCAACGGTTGAAATATGCATAGGAGAGTAAATTTGTGCATATTGAACATAATTTGTAAGTTTTTCGAGAATACGATCTTAATTTCTTTTAGAATTTCGTTAACAAACATGATTTTAATTGATT